GAGATTTTAGTTTAGGTGACACATTGAGAGAATGTTGACTGACGTGCTGAGAGCTACGTTATCACAGGCTTAGAGCTTTTCATAGTTCCCAAAATAACATCGTGAAAAACATTACTTCATAGAAGGCAAGAGTTTTGAGAAGCACATGCTGCTATTATAAACTTCATGCAGAAGCCACACTATGTTTTACTAAAGCTGTAAACAGATTAAAATATTTTTTATATATTGGTTAATCAAATTAATCATACCAATATTAGCCGCATAAAGCCCCCCCCCCCAAGTAAAGATAATTCAGGAACATTATTGTGGCACATGGGTATTGCAATGAATATCCAGTACAGTACTTCAGAAGTCAATATATTGTTTGTTTTATTTCCACATCAACATTTCATTTGGCAATCTAAGGTACATTTCATTTACATAAAAGTCGGGATTAATACAGAAAGGATCTAACACTAGCATGCTGGCTGTTTATTAGTACTCATAAAGCACATATTAATGCCTTATTCACCATGACCATATTTTAGATCCCTTAATCCTACCCCACATCTAAACATAACTACCTAACTAACTATTAGTAAGCAGCAAATTAGTATCTTATTGAGGCATAAGACGTCATAGTTAAAGTTAATAGTGAGAACTGGTCCCCAAACTAAAGTGTGACCAAAAAATTAAGGCATAAATTGAAGGGAACACAATACCATCAATATGTTCTAAAGAACACACAATGAGTTGTATTAGCAACACTTCAAGGTTTGAAAATGCAACTTTCAACTAATCTCCATTATGTTTTAATTCATTTTACAAAAAAAGCTTAAGGCTTGAATACCTCTGCTCCCAGCCACTAGAATATGGAAATAACTTTTACTGTACATTCTGATTACACTGCATGTTCTAATTCATTTTTGTCTTATTTTCCAGTGCAAATGTGTAAAGATTCTTAAATCAAGATACATTTACTCAAGAAGCAAAATGACAGTTCATTATTAAAATAAGAACAAATATTTGCCAATAAGCTCGGAACTTAGTTCTAAGAGAAAACAAGTTTTCATATCGAACCGACAGTAGGCCTATTTGTTCTTGTTTTAAGCATAAACTCACTTATTTTTGTTTCATTTGTCAAGACCTTAAATGTGCATCTCAAGTAAATATATCTTGATTTAAGGATATTTGTATTGGAAAACAAAAATACTGAGGTAGATATTCATTTTTTCGCAATGCATGCAATGGCATTGGCATTTAATACCAAGACTTTATGATTTAAGACTTTCTGCTCTTATTTAAGTCTTTTTCAACTTGTTGATGGCCGAATTTAGACTTTGTAAGACCTGCAGAAACCCTGTAATATTAAACTAACGTCATTTTTTCCACACACAAACACTCACCTTTGGCAGGCTTCACATTAAATTTCAGTCTTCTTAAAGCTTCTTCTGAATTAAAGTTGCATTTAAACAATTCATAAAGAGCCTGAAATGGAAGCAAAGGAATTAGATTTACATTACTATTACATTACAACATGATGTCAAAAGGGAATCATCAATATGATTTAAGTAAATATGCCATTGGATGGTGACCTGCCTGTTCATTGTCTTTGATGTGAGATCCTTCAGGAATTGCATAGACACCCGTCTCTTCCCCGCTGCATTTAGAGGCCTCGGCTAAAAACTCTACAACCTTTTCTTCTGGAATTAACTCTGGATTCCACAATAGCTGATCTTCATTCTCATACACTACATTTATAGGAGACAAACCGATGAAGAACAAAAATGTGTATGTATAAAATATGTACACATCACATCTAAATAACCATATCATTCAGTTCTGTCACCTTTTTCATTATCCTTATACTTGCAAAGGCCAACAGGAGTCTCTGCTTGATACATTGAACCAACCATGATTTCCTATGAATGACAGAAGAAAAAATTCATGTCTGAAATCATAAAAAAAATAAGCATTTGAGAGAAAATCATCTAACAGCTACCTTCTTCCAATCTTCAGATGGAATATAATCATCATCTTCAGATTCTTCCTCATCCCCTTTAAAACAAAAAGTCACATGGAGCTCCATCTAGTTAGACTCTGAATCTATATCACCATCTGCTGGTCCTACCAGGCATCAACTAGATCAGGGCTGTCCAAACTCGGTCCTGGAGGGCCGGTGTCCTTAGATCAGGGAACTCGGTCCTGGAGGGCCGGTGTCCTGCAGAGTTTAGCTCCAACCCCAATTAAACACACAACACACCGCTAATCAAGCTCTTACTAGGCATGGAAACTTCCAGGCAGGTGTGTTGAGGCAAGTTGGAGCTAAACTCTGCAGGACACCGGCCCTCCAGGACCGAGTTTGGACAGCCCTGAACTAGATGGTACAATGAATGAAAAACATCTGTGCAAGTGCACATTTGTTACATTTGAAATAATATATCATAATTAATATGGTGGGTTATGCTGATTTGGTAGATATAAAGAAACATTTCTTATGTTGCTTACTATTTTTGTGGAAACGGTGATAAATTTTTTCAGGATTTTTGTTATATGAAGTGTCTTTACTGTCACTTTTACTGTTTATAAACCTTTGAATGGTAGTGTACGTGTGTATACACTACAATCAAAAGTTTTTGAACAGTATTAATGTTTTTTAAAGTAGTCTCTTCTGTTTACCAACCCTGTATTTATTTGATCCAAAGTACAGCAAAAAACAGTAAAATTGTAAAATATATTTTGTCTTCTTTAACTGTCTTCTATGTGAATATATTTCCAAATGTAATTTATTCCTGTGATTTCAAAGCTGACTTTTTAGCATCATTACTCGTCACATGATCTTTCAGAAATCATTCTAATATTCTGATTTGATGCTCAAAAAACATTTATTATTATTATTGTTGAAAACAGCTGAGTAGAATATTTTCAGGTTTCTTTGATGAATAGAAAGTTCAGAAGAACAGCATTTATCTGAAATAGAAATCTTTTGTAACATTATAAATGTCTTTATCATCACTTTTGATCAATTTAAAACATCCTTGCTAAATACACGTATTAATTGCTATCATTTCTTTCCCAAAAATTATACTGACTCCAAGCTTTTGAATGGTATAGTGTATAATGTTACAAAAGCTTTTTATTTCTGATAAATGCTGATCTTTGGATCTGGAACTGTTTTAAATATTAATAATAATAATACAAATAAATGTTTCTTGAACAGCAAATCAGCATATTAGAATGATTTCTGAAGATCATGTGACACTGAAGACTGCAGAAATGATGCTGAAAATACAGCTGCGCATCACACTTTTGATTGTAGTGTATACACACGTACACTACCATTCAAAGGTTTATAAACAGTAAAAGTGACAGTAAAGACACTTCATATAACAAAAATCCTGAAAAAATTTATCACCGTTTCCACAAAAATAGTAAGCAACATAAGAAATGTTTCTTTATATCTACCAAATCAGCATAACCCACCATATTAATTATGATATATTATTTCAAATGTAACAAATGTGCACTTGCACAGATGTTTTTCATTCATTGTACCATCTAGTTCAGGGCTGTCCAAACTCGGTCCTGGAGGGCCGGTGTCCTGCAGAGTTTAGCTCCAACCCCAATTAAACACACCTGAACCAGCTAATCAAGCTCTTACTAGGCATGGAAACTTCCAGGCAGGTGTGTTGAGGCAAGTTGGAGCTAAACTCTGCAGGACACCGGCCCTCCAGGACCGAGTTTGGACAGCCCTGAACTAGATGGTACAATGAATGAAAAACATCTGTGCAAGTGCACATTTGTTACATTTGAAATAATATATCATAATTAATATGGTGGGTTATGCTGATTTGGTAGATATAAAGAAACATTTCTTATGTTGCTTACTATTTTTGTGGAAACGGTGATAAATTTTTTCAGGATTTTTGTTATATGAAGTGTCTTTACTGTCACTTTTACTGTTTATAAACCTTTGAATGGTAGTGTACGTGTGTATACACTACAATCAAAAGTTTTTGAACAGTATTAATGTTTTTTAAAGTAGTCTCTTCTGTTTACCAACCCTGTATTTATTTGATCCAAAGTACAGCAAAAAACAGTAAAATTGTAAAATATATTTTGTCTTCTTTAACTGTCTTCTATGTGAATATATTTCCAAATGTAATTTATTCCTGTGATTTCAAAGCTGACTTTTTAGCATCATTACTCGTCACATGATCTTTCAGAAATCATTCTAATATTCTGATTTGATGCTCAAAAAACATTTATTATTATTATTGTTGAAAACAGCTGAGTAGAATATTTTCAGGTTTCTTTGATGAATAGAAAGTTCAGAAGAACAGCATTTATCTGAAATAGAAATCTTTTGTAACATTATAAATGTCTTTATCATCACTTTTGATCAATTTAAAACATCCTTGCTAAATACACGTATTAATTGCTATCATTTCTTTCCCAAAAATTATACTGACTCCAAGCTTTTGAATGGTATAGTGTATAATGTTACAAAAGCTTTTTATTTCTGATAAATGCTGATCTTTGGATCTGGAACTGTTTTAAATATTAATAATAATAATACAAATAAATGTTTCTTGAACAGCAAATCAGCATATTAGAATGATTTCTGAAGGATCTGAAGACTGGAGTAATGATGCTGAAAATACAGCTTTGATCACAGGAATAATACATTTTAAAATATATTCAAATAGAAAGTTATTTTAAATAGTAAAAATATTTTTTTTACAACTTTTGCTGTATTTTGGATAGGGATGTAATGATTAACCGCGAGCCGGTTGAAAATCGATTAAAATATGTGACGATTCAAATCGGTTGAGATGCTAAACAAATCGCGATTCATTTAGGTGTAGGAGTTTATATGAATGTATGTCTGAGGGGAGCTTACTGTCTTTAGAAAAGTTTAGATGGTATTTTTTCTTTTCATCTTGCTTCTGTATAATGTATATTAAAGTTCATAAGTGGAGCGCTGCTTTGTTTACAGCGGAAACCAAGGAAACGCTTTAAGCGCCACCTGCTGGCAGAGAGTGAATCTGCGTCTCAATTTCACAAAGAAACATGCAGCATTTTGTCCAAGCAATAATAAAAGGACACATTTAATTTATAATTTGTCTTAAATCTCATTTTGTAAAAAAAAAAAAAAAGAAGAAACATGGAGGAAACAAGCTTTTATAGATGTGTAACATGCAGTGTAGCATTTTTATAATCATACCTTCCAAGTAATTGGATGGCCGAGCCCGAGGGTAGAGGAGTTGAGCTGTGCTGTGAGAAACACTGCAGGACGGACGCTCCTCACCAGATGACTGCACATCCTCATCCTCTTGATTCTCTTGATCATCCTCCTGAAAGCCACAATGATTGGATGGACTTACTATGTGTATGCACACAACAACAAATAGATTCATTGTTTTAATGTAGATCTTTACTTTGAGTTTACTATGGCTGCAGCAATTATTCTCTGAAGAATCCTCCTCTTGAACATCTCCATCCTCTTCCTCTGGAGACCCACCAGTGCTGTAGCCATACAATTTCAGAAGTTCCTCAATGGGCATCTCACCCTCCTACCAAACCAGACAGTAGTACAATGATGAATCAAGACCTATGAAGGTTATTTAATAAGCCTCGTCTTATCATCATAAACGTATGTATTAAATTATATAAAAAATTTAAAAAAAACATGGTCCATACTCGAGTGAGGTTATCAATTTCGGCACTGAAGTTGGTCTCTCCCTCCAGCTTTTCCTCTTCTTCTAATGTCCGCTCATCATCAAAGTCATGTACGAGCAAGTCTGCTGAAGGATCAAAGTCTCTGTCCTCATTCTGGACCACTGGATGTGCTCCTATTTAACAGACATATATATATTTTTTTTATTATTGATAATTATCTAATGTATATTAGAGAGAGAGACACACACTATATTAAATGTACACAAATTGTATAATATTACATATTAATATAAAAGTGGGCTTTGATGGAGCCTACTTTAATTTTGTTATTGCTAGGAAAATAAAAATAACAAATATTTACCTTCAGAGACTGAACCACTTAAGGAGGGCTGGAAAGAAAATAAGACATTTTTATCCGAAGAATAAAATTATAAATCAAACTTTAAGAACAAAAACCATAAGAGAAAAGATCATATATGACCTAAATCTGATTATGAATTATCATCTACAGCTAGAGGCAAAGCTGTTAAACCACGTATAAGCTCATGTTAATGAATGAGACTCGAAATAACAGTGCGCCGGGTAATAATTTATTGGACACTGTTGGTGTTTCTTAATATAAACATGGAGGAATAAACTGGATGTGAGTTTGGCGCTCAGGCAACAAGTTAGCTGCTAGCTGCTAACACATTCAAATTGGGCGCCCTAACCTGATTGCTAATTATTCAGGGCTGAATGTTAAAGTACGTCACCGTTGCAATATTTAAAATAAAAAATGAAGTTAATTTTATTAAAACATTGCACTGACCGCTTAAGTGCGTTATTTGCTGCAATTTGTAGTTTCTCTTACCTCCGCCATAGTTGTTCTAGGTTCTGTGAAGCCAGCGATAATGAGTAGAGCTACACTAGTCTGTGGTGAATACTACAAAATAAAAGTCATGTCGCGACCCAAACACTGCGCAAAGGTGACAAGCACAACTGGAATATTTGAAGAGTTTATTTGCAAAAACAGATAATTCCGTTTTTTTTTTAATTTTCAAAAATCATGTTTTTTATTATGTTATCATGTTTTTATTGTGATTTGTGTTAGTTAGCTGTATTTTTAGTTATTTTCACTTAATCAAAATAACTGCAGTTTGAGTTTATTGGAATGCACAATGAAAAAACATGATTTTTGTGTCCAAATGAACTTTTCATTTGGAAAACGTAAGAGTATTTCAAAATTAGCCTTCCCTCACTTTACTATAAGGTTTAAAAACAATACATTGGAAATCATAAGTGTCAATTTACTAAAGGAAGACATTTTATGATTGTTATTGAAACATATTACCAAAATGCAACAATTGCTAATCTTCTTTGAAAATCTACCTGTTAGAGCTGTGTTCCACTTAAGACTCACTATGACAGTTTCATATTAAACAATGCAGTCAGAAATGTTTCCATCGTTAAAAAGAATTTACCCACATAGAAATTATTCTACGTTAGAAAAATTAAATAAAATATCGGTTTAAAAATCATGTAAACTCAAATAAGAAACAATGGCTTATGTTTTATTTTACATTGAGCAGTCACAACATGGGTGCTTCACTGTTAGCACAACACAGGACTCATGGTAGCGTTCACCTTCTCTTCTCCGAACAATCGATTTTCCAGATGTCCTAAACAGTCGGAAGGGAGCTTCATCAGAGAAAATAACTTTGCAGCAGTTTTCTGCTGTCCAATCTTTGTACTTCCTGCAGAATTTCAGTCTGTCCTTGACGTTTTTCTTGGAGAGAAGTGGCTTCTTTGCTGCCCTTCTTGACACCAGGCCGTTGTCCAAAAGTCTTGGCCTCACTGTGCGTGCAGATGCTCTCACACCAACCTGCTGCCGTTCCTGAGCAAGCTCTGCACTGGTCATGACACGATCCCATAGCTGATGGTCCTGGCGCTTGCTGGACACTCTGGGACGTCCTGAAGACATCTTCGCTGCAGTCGAACCTCTCTCCTTGAAGTTCTTGATGATCCGGTAAATGGTTCTTTCAGGTGCAATATTCTTTTTAGCAATTTCCTTGCATGTGAGGCCATTTTGATGGAAAGCGATGATGGCTGCACGTGTTTCTTTGGAGATAACCATTGCTAACAAGAACACAATGATTGGAAGCGCTTCTTCCCTCATTTTATAGCTATCATAGAGGTTGTGTTTGCGGAACGATGAATGTTATAATACATCGTGTACACTCACTAAACAAGTGAGAGTGGAGAGAATCGTCCTCGCGCGAGCCTATCGCAAGACATCTGGTGGGGGGGGGCACCTGGAGAGATTCGTCCTATCGCAAGACATCTGGTAGGGGGGGCACCTGGGGTGGCCAGCCAAATTTCAGGGGGGGCCGGTGCCACCCCT